AAGGAAGACTGTTTTCCCAAGGCTCCTGCAAGTTTTCTACTTTGATACTTTCGGGGGTTTTCAATCCTCTTTTTGCATTTTTGGATGCCCATGGTAAGCAATAAGACAGTGGAAAGAAAGGATCAATGCTTCATGGAGCTGAGTTAAAACTAGCAAAGTAAAAAACGTCGAGGCGAATTTCACCTACCAGCATGCTGTGAGGTCTAGATAGTATTGTGGGATTGTACAAGATTTGGGAGAACCAGACAGATGACTTTTTGTTTTGATAGGTCTTTAAAGTATTTATCTTGAAGAGGAAAAGAAAACAAATGTCTTTATATGCTACAATTTTTGGCTGTACAAAGATCCAGTGAAATGAGAGAATTCAAGAGTGAACAACAAAAAAAAAATCTTTCTTCATAAAGAGAGAGGTAAAAGAGTAGAAAGTTAATCAATTTGGAATTTTTCTCTCTCTGATTCCAAACACATTTCTCTAAAAATGTTCCTATGTCTGAAAAATACATATCACCACTTTTCTAAATTTAAAAATGCTGGCTTAAAAAGTAAAGGGGCATAGTTAGGCTCTGTATTTATTAAATATATATGAATCTGACTGCTTGCTGGATCATTTATTATATATAAAGTTCCAATTTGGGAAATTCTTATAATTTTAATTAGGTCTTTTTAATAAAAAACTAATTTTGTTAAAACCTTAAAATATATGTAATGTTTTATTCAGGCTTCCAAATCCAAAAGGTTCAAACATCTGCCTCCAAAGCAAGCTTAGCAAACGTTAGACAATAAAATTGTTTCTCCATCCTCAGTCAAATAATATGTAAATGTAGAGAGTTGATGGAAATGAACTGGAAGGCTCCTACGTTTCCAGTGAGTCACAAATAAGCCTGAGAAGAGTCAATGGATTTGTAGAGCTAAAACACCGCCTTAGGGAGAAAGCTCAGACCCGCATTTTACAACAGGAAAAATGTCTGGAGAGCGGCAGTCCCCTGGCGGGTCCGGCTTGGAGCCTGGAACTCCAAACCTTCTGAGGCACCTTCCCCTCTCCAAGGAGCTTCTCCTGACTGACTGCTCTCCCTTCCAGAGCTCCCAGTATAAATTAATCTATCTTTATTTGAAGTGAAATCATTAACAGCAATGTAAATCATTAATGCGCATTCTAATTTATTATCTCCGAACCCATCAACACTCAGGAGCAGACAAATCTAAATTTAGAAATATAGATTTCTAAAGTGTCATATGTGTAAAGCCATTATTGAAACAGTTCTAGCCAGACGTCGCTTTATAACATGCAATTCACTCAAAGTGTACAATTCAGTAGCTTTTAGTATATTCACAGAGTTGTGCCTCTGTCACCACAATCAATTTTGGAATATTTATTACCCAAAAGAACTCCTAACCGCCCGCCACCCCCTGCAGCCCCAGCCATCATGTCCATTGAAACCTCCTTTCCACCACAACCCCCAGCCCTGGACACTACACCCATCCCCATCTACTTGCCTATTCATGACATTTTTGTATAAATTGGATCATACAATATATGATCTTTTGTAACTGATTCAAGTCATTTTTTAAAGACCTAAAAAAAATCCATTTTCAGAAGCATTTATTCAAATCTCTATTCTTTTTTATTTTTCAGCAACCTGAGTGACTTTTCAGTGAGTTCAAACTTCATGTTTCCCAGTTTTGAAGATGCATATGTAATGTCGTCCTCAGGAGCGGATAAACGTTTAGCCGTACTGGAAGGCGCTCTCCCTGAAAAGAAATTAACTGTTCCACAGCCATTGTGTATTCTTTTGTGACCCCTGCTGGCGGGATGTAATACTGTGCTTTCAAAGTTCCTTGAAACTCTTTCCTATCTTAAATTTTAAAATAATGAACAGAGCACATGACTATTAATGGGTATAAAATGTCATTAAAGTTGGTTGCTGTATGTATCCTGCTCTTTCTCTAGAAATTATAAAGCTTTGGGCTGCTCCTAAAGCTGTTACTAACACCCTGTCCAAAGTGCTGCTTACTGGACATTTTCCATTTTTCACAAGGAAAATGCTTAATCTGATAGCATTTCATTTCAATCCTAACAAAACCATAAAATCTGAAAGCTGCTTTATTACTGTTTAAAAGAATAAAATACACAAGAGATAAATATTTTATTAAAACAATGTGTGAAGACTATGAATAATAATGGAAAAAAGAAATATAAAAATACAAAACATGTATAAATAACAATAAAGTCCCTCTGAGGCTTACAGCCTTGTGAAAATTATTTTTAGTACAATTATTTAACATCTCTATTGCTCTTTCAGTATTCCTCAATTTTAAAGTTGTTTTAAAATTAAAACTTAGATATTTACTTTACTAAATATTTTTCCTAATCTTAAATTTCCTCTTTAATATTTAAAATAGAGGAGACAGAAAAAGAAAATGAATTCATAGTTTTTTATGCTTTTCATAATACAATAGATTAGTGCCTCCACTTTTATAAACATTAAAATTATTTCTGCTTTGTTAAACTCCATAATCCTAGAAATAGTGCTTTAAAAATATATGCTTAAAATTCTCAGTAGAGGTTTAACTATTTTTTAAAACCACTGTCCCCAGAAATGGTTTTTATCTTGCAGAAAGTTTGAGAAATCTTCAGAAGTGAATGTTTGATTTAACACACATTGCTCTCAATGTCTTTCCTGGTTTGAAAAAAAAAATAGAATAAATAACATTTAGAGCAGATAAATAAGTTTGTTTTATTAGCTCTTCAGTTATTTTATAATTATTTTCATGTCCAGGGTAAGTTTACACAGAGTACCTTGTGCTATTTTATGGAGATTTTAAAACATATTCATGTACCACCTAAGGCAAAAAAATGTTTTTAATCAGTTTATATATAAATAAATAAACTTTTTGAGTAAAAGGATTCAAATTGGGTTACTGTACCATTTTCATGTTTTTAATAAAATGTTAAAGCATAAGTGTGTAGATAAGATATGAGCAATCAATCATTGCTTTGGGAAATGCAGAGCTCACAAGTTTACGTATGTATGTGGGTGTAAACATAGGCAACACACAATGAGGAGAGGAACTTTTCTTTGGATCTGCACGTTAGTTTGGCTTTGAAGGCTGACAAACAATAACCAGGATCAGAAAGCACATCTCGGAACTAGAACTTGGGGATCGGATCGGCTGTTAAAAGCGAGAAGGAAGGGATGGGGTTGTTTTTATCCAGCACTGGAGAGGACAGCCCATCGTTTTCAGGATTATTAACAGAACTCATGTGATCAATGGAAAACTGAAATGAGGGAGGACACATGGTGATTATTTATCCTATATTTAGTACATTTCAGTACTCACAATTGCAGGTACCTTTGCAGAATGTATAGATTCACACATTTTACTATAAAAAAATTCTGGATAGGAGTCCCTCTTCTTTATCATTGCCTGCAAGATTGATCCAAGCATTGCTTCTTAAATAAAAGTTTTAATTTCTCATATATTTCAAACCTACGTAGACTATTAGCTTCCCTCATTTTTTGTATTTTTTTAAATATTCATTTCTCTTTGTGACAGTGGATCCTACTTTGACCTTGTCAAAAGAGAAACATAAAACATAGGCAAAATGTTTCATAAGCGTTTTACTTACCTTACTTGTTTTTTGCAATTTGTAACCAGCTAGCTCAACCCATTTTTCCTTTCCAAAGAAAACGAATACAAAATTGGACAATGATTTACTCTCTTGGCCTGGTAAGGAGAAATGATGGTTTCTAGTTGCAAGGGGCTAATGAGAATGGAAGACCTTGTCTTAACGGAGCTCTACCTTTCCTCAGAAAGTAGCCAATTACCATTTACAGCCCCAGCACTCTTTGATACTAATCAGTTAATTCAGTCTCCTGGCCCTCAGATATATTGGTGTTTACTCTATTAAGCAGTGCACATTTCAATACGGTGAAACACATGTTTGGCTGAAACCGGATCCTTCTGCTCATCAGCTCCCCTATGCAGAGATTAGGAAGACAAGACAAAAGACTGCTGGCAACAAACACAGCCAAATTAAGAGCAGTTTCCCAGTGCATTTCCTTAAAGCAATGAAGAGGTTAGAAATCGGTAGGGGAGAGTCTTTTGGTGAAGCAAGTTTAAAAGTGACAGGCTCAGGGGGAACATCTGGCAGCATGTGCCTCCCTTCAAACCCCCACCCTCCTGTGGCTGGCCAGCCGTGTGCTCCAGCGATAGCCCCAATATAATTTCATTGCAGCAGGAAATCTGGAGCCACATCCTGACACTGACAAGGTAATGAGGCACTGCCAGATGCAGCGAGAGTCTCTTGTATCTGCACTGGGGTTTTATGGTTGCAGCTTCCATTTATTATCAGTCTGGATTTGTTATCTGCTTCTCTGGCTTGGACAGGAATCCATCACTAAGAGCATTGAAACAGGGATGCTGAAACAGATGGCAGTCTAAGCATGTCTCCACTCCGGGGGGCTGTGTTCCGAGGGGTAGCTGGGAAGATTTCTAACATGGTCATGATTAAATCTCCGGTTTTTATACAATAGACATTTCTGCGTTTAGTACTGAGCTGATGAAATATGTGAATGTGATATTTCATGAAAACCCTCGAAGAATATTAAAATGTATCGTATATGCACGTGTATTTAAAAGACTTGTATGCTATTACTATCACATATATTAAGAAATCTGTTTTTTCTACAAAATGCAAAGTTCAAACCTCAAAGTTTCATTATCTTACTCTTTCCTCTCCATAGCACCAAAGAATTGGGGACTGACAGTACTTCAGGCAATAGGTCCAGTGCCGGGCTCAGAGACTTCTCCTCCCGGCTCTCCCCTAGATAAATAACATGTGAAGGAAAGGATCTTTGAAAAAGAACCCTCCTTGAGTCTGGTGCAGAGGCTTCCCTGAAGATGTCATCCTCAGGCAGACTTAACCATCTCCTAAAATCGGATCTGCCCCAAGAGACTCGCTGGACTTGCGGGATCATCTCAGCACCACCCCCAACCCCGCCCCCACCCCCGATTCTACAGTTTGCCGAGGAAAGGAAAGGTTATCATAAGGGAACACAAATAAAGTCACCTTCCCAAAAACCATTTGTCAACTGCCTGCATTTAGTTAACATCTAATCAAATCTGCTACTAATTTGTGAAAAAGTCAAATTATTGTGGCATATAAACCCAGAATCTTTTTACATTCTGTTTACACATTCCAGGTCGTGAATGCACCTCACAAACTTATGCTAAATGCGTTCCACGCATATGATAAATAATCCTCTAACTATATGTATTGATATGCATATATATGCAAAAACTGATGCAATTCATTCATTTCAGCTTTGTTAAAAGTAACAAAATAATTTATAAATACCATTTTAAAAGAAAAAAAAGCAGCATATGACCAGATATAAGGGTTCTGACATACTCTAAACTGTGGGGAGAAACATTGAATAAACTCATTTTATTAAATAATCTAATTATATGAACAAAGAATAGATTATGAGTAATGGGCAAAATATTTAAGTAAATGTTGCCCATAAAAAGCTTTCAAATTTCATGTAAACTCCTAGATTCTATGATCTACAAATGCTTCGTTTTTCAGTGGTAAAACTTAAAAATGAAATACAAAAAAACTAAGGTGAGAAAGAAATTGCATCAGTTGCCATTAATGCCATTTTAAAAGCTGAGTTGAAATTGAATGTCAAAGAGCTACCATTTATTATACACGTGTTGGCGCTCGTTAAAGCCCGTATGGATTACTGAAGTGCCCCACGGGGATGCTCGAATCTGGATGTGGTGGTCAGAAAATAAAACCCCTGTTTCCAGCCGTCGACCATCCCGTGGTATGTCTACCCGTCTGTCATGAAATTCCTGGAGCGAATCTTGCGTTTGCGTTTTTATTCACAGCGTTGCTTTGGTTTACATTAGTTCTTTGTTTGCATCTCACAGTCTGCTTATTCTTCTATTTCTCCTCTGAAGAAGAGGTGGGACATTTGCGAGAGAAGAGCGTGAGGTCAGGCATTTCTGCTCGGTTGGCTTGGGTCTGGAAGGAGATGTCTGCTGTGGCGCTGGCTTGGGGCTGGGAACATTTAGAAAGAAGCAGGATAGAGGAGTCCCACGGCTTCTCAGCTTCTCCCGTTCTTCCCCGGCTTCATGGTGAGCCTCCTTTATCTGGTAAGAAGTGAAATTTCAGGCAGAACTTCAGGCACATATTAAAATGTAAGTACTAAAACAAATCCCAAAGCCAAATATGAATATGTTTTGGATCATAATGATTTTGGATTGTTACTGTGATTTCTTTTTTTGTCTTGGTTAAGAAATAAAGAGATAATGTGCCGCAATGGATGAAAAGAGACAGATTTTGTCAGAACTTATTTTTCTTTCCAAGAAATAAAATACTGTAAGTGGGCACATTGCTCATGAACGCCGCACTTCCTTTCTGAAATGAAAACAAATTACCGTCTCCTCATTGTACCATTATTAAGCCCCTGTCAAGAGTTTTCAGAATGTGTCTTATTTCCAAAGCCTGTTGGCAAAATCCATACTGTTTCAAATACTATGGTATTTCTGGTGGTTCTGAGTGAGGCTGTGATCATTTCCATGGTAACCCTCAGCCTTTCTGTTACCACCAATTTGCTGAGAGCAACTGAAATGAGCTGAAACTTCCACATCAGCCCTCAGTAAAAGCAAATCAGTGCACCCGCCCGAACCAGAGAATGGCAAAGCATGACAAGGGCAGGGAAGAGCTGCCCCACCGTATTTTTGGCAGCCGTGTAATTATCAAGGAAATAGTGCAAAACCTGAAGGAAAAGCAGGTCTCATCAGTAAGTCCAGTTCTGTGGAAGACCTTGAGCAGGAAATGGAGTCGGGGATGATAGTACAATCTTGTGAAGAATTAGACCAAGACTTTCTGGATGGGGGATTGAAAGCCCACCTATGGCTTTTTGCCATACACATAATCTACATCTTTTTATGCCAACTTTGTATTTCTCTATGCATAGTAGCAACAGCTACCAGCTCTTGGCAGACAATTTAGCCAGCCTCTTCACTAGACATTTTTTCATACAATAACTCTAATTTTTACAATAATCAAGATGTCACTGTCTCATTTTACAGAGAAAGAGTCACCTTCTCAATTGTACACAATCGTGCCAGTTCTGGCTTACCCCAGCCTGTCTACTGAAGCAACGTTGCATTGTCCAGTGGTGAAATTATAAACAGTAGCCCAGATTGCTAGCACAAAGTATTTTCAAATTCATAGCACACAAACCCAAATCAGAGGGTATAGCATACCCACAACCGCAAAATCTGTTGTGGGTGAGCAGGAGTCTGTTTTTGTTTTGAGACAGGGACTCGCTCTGTCACTCAGGCTGGAGTGCAGTGGCACGATTTCGGCTCACTGCAAACTCCAACTCCCGGGTTTAAGCGATCCTCCTGCCTCAACCTCCTGAGTAGCTGGAATTACAGGCGCACACCACCACACTCAGCTAATTTTTGTATTTTTAGTAGAGACAGGGTTTCACCATGATGGGCAGGCTGATCTTGAACTCCTGACCTCGTGATCCGCCTACTTTTGCCTCCCAAAGTGCTGGGATTAGAGGCGTGAGCCACCACGCCAAGCCAGGAGTTGTTTTTAATGTTGAAGGAATGCTCCCCTTAGACTGTTCTGTCAAATACTTGCACCTCGTGTTGAGAAGATGAAGTGAGACAATGTCCTTCTGACATCATGAGGACCCAGAAGAGCCATACTTTGGCCTGTGAGGACCTCATTTAAGGCTACGTTAATGGTAAGAAAGTCAATGAAAAATGCATGAAGACGCACATAGCATTCTCTTAGAAGACTTGCATGAGAAGCCTCCTCCGTGGGCATAGGGAGATTCTAGACTGAGGGAGAAGCACAAACTGTTTTTCTATCATTGAGTATTCAGCCAATTTCCACACAAATAACTCTTTTTCAGCCCCAAGAGCATTTTGCAAGCCGTCCATGACATCCGGAAAAGTTTTGCTCTGTTAACTATTTAGTCACCTAATACTTGCTTGGAAAAAGATGTTTCATGTCCAAGAACTTCTTTCTGCTGTTTTATGAAACTTCTCCTTTTAGAACTCAGGTTCTATTAGACAGCAGGCAGAATAAAGCACTTTTTCAGTTTCATTTCCATCTTAGGATGGTTATAAAGAGCATGGTCTTGAAACTTCCTGAATATTCAAATCACCGGCTCTGGTTCCAGCTGATTGAAAAACAGCTGAATTAATGAGGAGACGGAAGAAAATGGGGCAGATGGAATTAGGCCTTGAACACTCAGGCCTTAGCTCTGCGTCCCAAAAACATTTTCTTCCACTCTCTTGCCCTTAGTTTCCTCATCTGTAAAATGAAGTTGGCTCGCTACGTGATTGAATTTCCAAATCCTATGATTCCCGATGAACAACATCCCAGGCCCAACTTTGACATCTTCGTGAGGCTTCCAGCAGCCCCTGAAGAAACCCTAAGTAGAACGAATAAGCAGCAAAATGGTCTGGATCCAAATGCTCGAATCAGACGTGAGGCATCTCTGCGTTTCAGCTGCTCCCAGGCCTCACTCATCCACTTGCAGATTTTCTTCCATTAGTCTGCAAAGTTAAAGTGGACAGGACAAGAGTGACAGTTTCTAACATAACCATCAGTCTGCAGCACCTTCCATGAACATTTGGAAGCTACAAATGCATCAGGGGCTCTCCCCCCTGCCCTTTTCCCTCTCCAATTAAAATAGGTTAGCAGGAAAAAAATATGAAAAAGACTTTGACTTTACTCATAACTCTATTTATTTTTTTATAAAGAATGATCTGGAGTCAGGCAGAGTGGCTCATGCCTATAATCCCAGCACTTTGAAAGGCTGAGGTGGGCAAATCACCTAAGGTCGGGAGTTCGAGACGAGCGTGACCAACATGGAGAAGCCCCATCTTTACTAAAAATACAAAATTAGCCGGGCATGGTGGCACATGCCTGTAATCCCAGCTACTTGGGAAGCCGAGACAGGAGAAGCACTTGAACCAGGGAGGCAGAGGTTGCAGTGAGCCAAGATCACACCACTACACTCCAGCCTGGGCAACAAGAGTGAAACTCCATCTCAAAAAAAAAAGATCTGAAGAAAATATTTTAACACATTCACGTTTGTTAATCTTGAAAGGTGAGCACTTAAGTTATTTGGTTTTTTATTATTTTCAGTATTTGTATTCTTTAAAAATTTTCCCAATACAAAAGGCAGCAATAGACATGTAGACAGGGTCTCACGCTGTCACCCAGGTGCAATCTCAGCTCACTGCAACCTCTGCCTCCCAGTCTCAAGCAATCCTCCTACTTCAGCTTCCCGAGTAGCAGAGACCACTGCAAGAGCAAGTAACACCATCATATCCAGCAAATACTGGGAACTAAAAAGCCATATTATAAAATAACTTCGACTCTTTCCCTGTGAAACATGAAAGGCAAATATAGCAGTAGAAACTTTTTCACACACGCAGCAAAATAAAATTTTGAATGAATGAATTCCTGGACAGGATATGTAAAGCAAAAAAAAAATTATTTACAAAAAACATAAAAAGAAAAAAACAATTTTGAAGAAAGTATAATGTCATGGTTCTGCATGATGAAAACAAATGCAACCCTAAAATTAATACAAATGGGGAAAGGGAATAAAAAACTCCGATAGAAACTGATAGTTTAATTACGATCATGGCTACTATGCAATAGAAGAATAAATGTGTTTTTTAAAGTTATCATGAAAGTTTCTATCTTGATGCTGAAAAACTGCAAAACAGTCCTCTTCAAAAGCAGGGACCCACCCTCCTGGAAATCCGCTCTTGCTGTGAGACTCCAGATGACTCCCTTTCATCACTGAGCCATCACTACCTTCACACAATAAATCTTTCTCCATGGGGTTGGGACTTTGCTAATTCCACATGTTGAAGGGATTTCACCACTACCTCTCGACCTTCGGCATTTTGTGACGTGTTAACCACTCACCCACATGCCTAACAAAGACAGCACTTCTTTCTCCCTGTCGGGGGCACCCCACAAGCCCAGGATTGCACCCACCTGTTCCACTCCTTTTTCCTGAATCCCTTAAATCACATTTGGAGAGCCACATCTGAAGCTTACAACTGGCTTTGGCCTGTCCTGAATTACCGAGTATCTGTCACATACTTGGCACAGACTAGTGGGGCTGAGATGTTAGAAAACCCAACAGGTTGTCTGGGCCTCTTTTGGTCTATAAAATATTTCACTCCATCCTCATTCTCCCCCCATTTCACATGCACATGAGCATGCATTTCATTTGAGGTTCTTTTTTGGTACAATATTTCTTCTCATAATTAGTAATCATAGCCTTTCACAAACTCAGCACAACAAGCTAACACACCTCTGCAGCGTGCGTCCTCCACACAACACGCCAACACACCTCTGCAGCCTGCGTCCTCCACACAACACGCCAACACACCTCTGCAGTGTGCGTCCTCCACACAACACGCCAACACACCTCTGCAGTGTTCATCCTTGTGCCCCACAGTTTTTAACTGCACAGACTGCGGTCTGCTTCTTTTATTTTCTTTCCTTTAGGATGTAAATAAGTAGCAAAAGAACTTTGGCCATGTTTCCTCTCTATGAAAGGCAAAAACGCAGATCCTAGCATCATATTTTTTTATTGTTAAAGTTGATAATTGTAGCTTACTATGTCCCTGGGATATTTTGTGCTCAGTATAACTCAATTCTCCTTACTAATCTATGGCAACAAAAGAGTGGCTCCATCTGTAAATTGCTACCAAGGGTTTCCAATACTTTTTCATTTCAGCAGTTACTAAATTCTCCAGGTTTTGCTTATCTCTTGTTCACATGTGCAGAATGTTGTGGTTGCAGCCACTGTGAAGACTTTTTTGCCTTGATTACAGCTCCCAGCAATTTGCTTCTCTTTTTATTTCTAGAATCTTTATTATGTATTCAGGTAGGTGGGGACACAATTCCACTCAGCAGCCTGGTTGCTGATTTCCTTTACTGGATCATTAACAGCGGGCATCTGCCTAATATGATAGCCGTGTCTCCACTGAGTTTGAGCCATTTAACAATAAACTTAAAACTAAAATATAATGTCCCACCTATCAACAAGTGGTGAGGCCCCGTCTTTGTTAAAATGTATGTGATACTT